ACGGGTGCCGCCACCGAACCCCCTCGCACACGCTGGGCAGCTTGGAAATCCTCCTGCTGCTGGTCGAGGTCATTCGAGACCTCCCGGGGCTCAACAATGGCACCCTCCTCTTCTCTTCTTCCTCCTTCTCCTCCTCTTCATCCGAGGAGCCGAAGAGACTCTGATAGGAGCGTCGAGTCTCCTTCTCCTCGCGGAGTGGAGACTTAGAGGCGGTACGCTTCTTTGAGGGCTTGGCGCCTTCGGCTTTAGAGGCCTTAGCGCGCGCAAGACCCTCGGCAAGCGAGAGACGTTTGCGAGGACCCCCTTCCTCATCGCCACCGGCTTTGGGAGTGCCCTTAGCCTTAACGGCCGGACTCTCAGAGCGCACAGAGGTCCTGAGACTGTGATCACCGTGATCACTAGCGGACGACTGCACGCTGTCTTCTTTGTGCTCACTGGGCACTGGGCTGTGCCCTCCCACAGAGCCCGCAGGAGCATCATGAGTGCTCTCGGACTCGGCATCGTCCTCACTGCCCGAGTTGAACTCACGTTCTACGAACCGAGGGTTCGGACGATTGTCTGAAGACGAGGGCGACAGACTGCGGCGCCTGCTTGCGCGCTTGTCCGCAGCCGCGTCACCCGAGGATCCGATCGCCTCGGAGGCCACCTGAGTAGCCTCCTTAAGTGCAGAGCCTTTGCCGTGAGGCTTAGTGCTCTTGGCCTGCGCCTTACCGGCTGCAGCCTTGGAGCGTGTCTTAGCACCGCTCTTAGCAGTGCCACGAGGCATGTTAACGGTCGAAGTGGAGACCTTGACGAAGAGCGCACAGGTTGCTGCTCGAGGCTCTAACTGTAAAGTGAGCCTCCGCCGCGCTCGCGCGGCCGAGTCGATGGTTTTCGACTTTGAGAATGAGAGTTTGTGACGAACATCTCTTCATTCTGATTGGTCGGTAAGCCGAACCTAAGTGGGGGAGGATGTAACGGGGTACGTAGCACTAAGTGTACCCTGGTTACATGAAGTGTGACACTTCACACTTCAGGAGTATGACATGTCATACTCCGGAATATTTGGTACAAGGTACCAAGGTCGTTCAAAGCCAACCATTGGCTAAATGACATTGCATTTCTATAGGTAACTAATAGTTTGTATTAAACCCAAACTTAACCTACCTATAAATATACTCAGTTTACAATCTACCTTATTTAGGTCACTTCGCTCTCTTTAATTAAAGAGGGGACCTGTGAACTGCCGTTCACTGAGAGTTTGTATACTCTCGGAAGATAACTTCCTCTAGCGCAAGGTGCTGTGTGACCCCGTCACAAAACATGACCGTTTCAAAATTAGCTGGTAAAGTAGATGAACGTAGCGATGTAAAAACAAGCTTACACTCAGAGAAAAGTCTCTCGCACGTGTTGCTTGTCGGAGGAGCGCAGAGCAGGAGAGGATCATACTCGACAGACGCCTGCGATGCAAGCCGCGGCTTCTTGGCTTGCCGGAGGATGGAGGTCGCGAAGTCCGCCGCAGTCGGCACTTCCTCTTGTGCGGTAGACGGAGATAAAATAAAACTGTCGACTGCATGTAATTCATCCGCGGAGAGGGGTAGGTCGTTTTGCAGCTTCACTATTGCAGACTCGAAATGGGGCGAGTGAACAATCTCAGCTGTTGGCGCTAAGTAGTTAGCCATGACAGGATACTTAGCAGCACACGCATCAAACAACAGGCGCACCTCGGCAAGCGTGCATGACTCCGCTTGGATTTTCACACACACACTGTCCAGCTCACGAAGCTTGTCCAATACACCTCTAACGCGGCGGTGCGCATGTCCACGAGGCACAAACTCTTCAACAGCCTCCACCGTCAGGATCGTATCACGGATCTTGCAATATCGGTCAATCATCTGGAATGTAGACGACCAGCGCGTAGTGTTTGCCTTAACAGGCTTGTAGTTGGTCGCCTTTGCCAGTGCAGTAGCATTTTTGACATGACGCAGCTGAATCATCAGGTTTTGAATCAGATCTATCTGAGTCTGATAATCCTGTAGAAATCGATTAACCGCGAGGTTAAATCGATGACTTGCACAGCCAATGAGGGGGACGCCCATTCGTGTAGCCATACTCTGATTGGTTGCACAATTGTCCCCCACAACATAGCGCACCATCTGCAGGTTCTTCTCGTACACGCTCAGTACGGTGGATATATGATCCAGGTGGGCTTCAGCTGTCTGGCCGTCTTCCATTGGCGAAAGCGCAAGAAGGCGCTGGTGGCGCACACCATTGTAGACGTAGATCGCGTAGATGCCGAGGAAGTGAAGTGAGTGACTAGTCCAACCGTCGAACATTAAAGCAAAGGAAGTTCCCATCTCCTTTGCAATGATTGCTCCAACGGCTAGAGCCACATGACGCATGTACCGCTTCAGTGTCTTGGTAGTCGTAGGCTTCATTGTAACTACAGCACGCGTAGCCTTGTTTTCCACTTCAGTGATTGGTAGATTTCTCTCGATCACCCATACCATCCATTGGTAGATATTGCGCGTCACATCGTCCACAAAACCAAACGTGGTAAGTGCTGGCGTCTGCGTGGCATGAAGTTCTGCAAACCCAGCAGCATACCCAGCGTGCTTGCTGTTAAGGTGGCTGAGGAGGTTGCTGTACCCCGTGCCGGGCGTCTGCTTCCGAGGAAGCCCACAGGATTTACACTCAAAGCGACCTTCACCGAGGTCGCTGAAGTAAAATGCGCAGAGTTGACGGGAGGTCATCGTGGGTAGCGTGGTGGGTAGCGTGGCTAAGAGTGGTGGCTTGTTCTCTAAAGAGAAAATTGAGAAGTGGGGAGTGTGTGAATCAAAGCGCGCAGAGTGTATTTGCAAGGCAGTAGAGAACTGTTGGTTGTCAGCGCTCCTGGAAATGGTTGGAAGCGTGTAAAATATTGTATTATTGTGTACAGTTATGTATTATATTTATCTTGGAAAAATCAATAGTAAGTTATTCCGTAAATATAATACCCGTAATATTGTTATTATACTATTTTTCCCATGCCCTGTCTACTACGTGGAGAAGTATCGGGCTCACGACACCTACTAGGACGGCAGGACGCCCGCCTTGTTGCAACAAACAATGCTTGACGAAGGCGTGGTAATGCTGCAGCACAAGCTTCGAATCATTCCAGGCTTGGAGGAACATGTCGATAAAGTTGCTGTTTTTGGCGTCTTCCACCAGTCGCAAAACAATGAACAAGTTGTGGCATGAACTTCATGAACCGCCCGAGGAAGTTTTCACAGTTTTACGACTGGCAGAAATCAGAATAGTGGGCAGTGATTCCAAGCTATTCCATTGGTTCAGGTACATTAAACTATTCAGAGATCACAACAAGAAGCATGTATTTTCCGAAGAGCAAACCCTTAATCTCTTATTAAAGGGCAACACCAAGGAGCGATCAGAGGGAAACTTGCGACACGGTTCGAATCGCTCAAGGATCGTATTCCTGATTTGAGGACATTCGTTGGAAATATGCAAATCCGTTGATGCCAGGACTGATTAAAACGGAAGCTAGATTGAAACTTTGTATCGACTAAACTGTCAAATTATGCCGGTGGTCAGCTGAAACACGATCCTCCGTACAAGACTTGGGCTTCACGTTGCCAAAACCAAGGGTGGAGATACGCTGGTGAAAAAAGTGAAGGTACTTCTCAGCAACAACAATCTACGTGGTGCAGTTGCTGCACTTCCGAAATCAGAAAGATCCGACAGTAAAGATGCCTTGAAAACTTTAGTTTCTCGACTAACTCATGATTTTGGAATAGCAATTGTCAGAAAGGGGGTTCAAGCCTGGTCCAAAAATATATTCCAGTGACAATGCGACCCTTCGAAATTCCACTTAAAATAAATAATCGAAGACATTACTAGTCTTGTTTACTCAGATTTTTATCAAAAAAATCGTTTCCAACGGTAGCGCTACGTGTGCGCATACATGTATGATGATGACAACAACTATACAGAAGGTAAAGTAAACCTCATAGCAGATTACTTAAGTTTTTGAAGAAGGTAACGAAGAAAAATTCTTAGATGATCCAGCATGACCAAGTGTCACCAAATACTGGTTGCCACTGGAAGTATGGCTGGATACTGATTGGAAATCTTATCGCGAGAGTATGTATCCACTTTTTGCATTATACTTGTATACGATGCGTTAGGTATGTGGCGCCTCTTCATCAAAAGCTGATCCGCTTCAAATTAGCCCAATTGGTGATTCTCCACGCAAGGGAGCCATGGGCTGCGCGCGAATTATGCTGCTGCTGATAGATATCACTTCGGTGGGAGTTTCAGCACCTGTATCTGTGATTGTTCCTGTACAATGTGATGTACCTGAGCCAGTGGGGCTAATGCTCTCTCCCGATGAGTATGTTAGTGTTTGCCAGATTTAAAACTTCGAACACGTTCTGGGGGGGGGGGGAGCATCGCATTTTAACCACATTCCGATCATCGTTTTGCGACTGCTTGTAAATTAAAGAACATCTCTCTCCAACGCATTGACGCGATATTTAATGCTCTGAGTGCTACGAAGCTTTTGTAGCAACATTAGCACCTCACGTTCCGTCACCGTATCAGTGAACAAGAGCAGCATGTGATGAAAGAGTGGCGTCTTATCCAACTTGCCTCGTGAAACCATAGTGTTCTGTATACGGTCATTGGGCTTGTTTCGTGCTGCGAGGCTTCGGTAATCCACGAGACGAATAGACTTCTGCATACTCCTACCCAGCTTGTTAAATGCTCGAGTCTTCGTGAAAGATTTAAAGAGTGCTGCCAGCTCTTCTGGACTGTTTCTCCTTAGAAGCAAATATGTAAATGCCCAAATCTGAAAACGCTTGGTTCCCTTTCTTGGCTCTGAAGAACGAGTTTGAGCCAATGGACGAGTTCTGAATTACCATCCAACTTCACTGCTCCAAGACGCAAGGTTACAAAAAGGTCTGTAAGATTCACTTGGGACTTCATCCATTCCTTCTTGCGCTTTGACCGAATTGGAGCTGAAAAGGTTGTGCACAAAATCGTAGACCTTCGGTAATATGGGTGTATGAACCCTCTCCTCCTTGTACTGTACTCAGAATTAAGTGTATCGCGGTCTTCTGCGTAGAGAGATCTTAAAAAATCTGGTGGTGGAAAGCGCAATCTTGATCGCGAGATAGAGTTTCTGTCAGCATTCCCGAGAATGTCTTCTCCAATGAACAACTCGTAAATATCTTGCTGAAAATTAAACCGGGTCTGTCAGAGCCAAAACTTGCAACAATTGCTCAATCGCTCAAAATTGTTGCGAAGGGTTGCAAACGATCCTAAAAGAGAGCCCTCTATTGGAATTATTTAGACTTTTTATTTTTCTAGACTCCCACGGCCTCCACCTGGAGTAGAGCAGCCGTCATGCTTGCCAAGCTTGGGTCCTTTTGCGCTTCTTGAATCTGCGTCTGGGCCGCAATAAACCGCGCGATTTTCTCCTGCTGCAGTTGTCGCAAGAGCGCGTTCAACGCGTAGATCTCCGCTCGACGTCGCTGTTTGGCGTGTACAGCGTGATTCTGTCGACGCTTGTCCTGCTCCTGCTTGGCTTGTCGAGCGCGCTCTCCCTCTTCTCGCCGTTCCTGCTCCGATTTCTTCCACACACTGACTCGTCGAGCTGCCCGTCTCGCCATCTCCGTACTGTCGACTGTCTTACTATTGGGAGAGACAACCAACGACGTATCGTCGCTATCTGCAGCCTCGTTGGAGAACGAGGCAGCTCGAACATCCCTGGCGACCGGCGTTCGTGCAGCATTAAAGGCCGTTCCGCGAGGAAGCTGTTCGATCGTCGCCACTTGTAGCGATACGATCGCTTTGCCGGTCACCATCTTGGAGTCGGGTAGTGCAAATGTGAAAGTGATGAAGACAGAGAGAGCTCGGGGCACAGGTCGAGGATGCCATGTGGACGATTCCTGTTCTGAGGACGAGCTTGATGTCCTAAGCCGCTTACGTAGTATATTTTTGAACATACCGGTACTCTACTGCAAACACAGCCCCACGCTCAGACTTGGGTAGTCCGTTCTACCTCGTTTTACTGTGGAGGCTTTTGCTGACGCATGACTTGAGACGGGAGCAGTAGCTGTGGCGACTTAATGTCATCGCCCTTGGGCACCCACTTCTTGTGTGAGTTCTCTTGCTTCTGGGCAGCATTACCGTCTTCTTTCAATGACGCGGCCTTCTTCCCACGGTTGTGGTGTTTCTTTCCAGTCGCTGGCGTCTCTTTTGCTTTGGGTTTCTTAGCATTCAGTGAAGACGCAGCTCCAAGCGGAGGGTATTCTTCTTCATTAGGTGGCACGGGAGCGTGTGTCTGCGGCACGTAAGATCCTGGAGGCGGAGCGTACATCGGCGCATACGAGCCGTCAGGCATCAAGAAAAGATGCGGCTGTTGTCCTGGCATCGGAGGTTGCGTCGGGTAGTACGTTGGCGTGTACTGCGACGTAGAGGCGCCATTCGGTAGTGGAGGCGTTAAAAGAGAGGGAGAATTATTAGCGTATTGGTGAGGGAACAAGCCCATCAAAGGGTCCACCGGAGCAGCTCCAGTCTCAGCAGCAGAGAAAAACGCTGCGACAGATGGAGCGAGCTTCTCCTCTGTAGTCGCGTTCTCTGGCTGCGGTGTTACAGTAGACTGTACACTCGCTTCAGTAGCGACTTCGCCGTCAAAACTCCACTTTTGAATGAGCTGCTGGATCTTCTCGGGAGGTGGCGGAGGCGGCATCGCACTCGGAATTGGAGGTGGTGGAGGCACCAACGGGGTCGGGGCTGTAGCAGGAGCTTTATCACTAGGCTTGAGAAGTCTCTTGGCCACACGAGTGTTCGTGCTGATGACTGGCACTCCACTAGACGTGCGTCGTTGAGTACTATTGCTCTGAGTATTTCCATTCTGTCCTTGCCTTGAGCGAGTATTGTAGCTCTGTTTCTTAGCTCCAGAAGGAACCGACACACAGAGCAAGTTGTTCCAAGCCACGATCTTCCCGCGATCCAGACTCGTCGTTCCGTATAGCGCTTCGCCACCCGTAAACCCCTCGTCAAACAGCACCTCGACACATCTACTACTCACATGTGTAGCCACCACAGTACCTCGATGACCGAACGGCACGCCACGCGCACTGATATTGATCACTCGGTCGCCGAGATTCGGAGCTCCACGGTTCACAGACGAGCGCTGCGATACTTCTTGTCCTGTTAGATCCTGGTTCACCAACGGGTTGGGACGGAACAGATCTGCAGCGGTCACTGTTGCAACAACAGGAGCACGACGTTGCTCCTCAGCAGCCTTGGCGCGCTCCTTCGCACGTAACGTTCCAGCAGCTTCCATGGCACGGACAGCATTAAGAGCAATGTACTCGGACGTAATGGGAATGTGCTTCGAGTGTTCACTAGCACCCAGATGCTGCTGCTCAATCCACTGCTTGACGGCTTCTGCCTTCACTTCTACACGTCCCACATCGTCAATACCAAACACATCCTTGCCTTGATATGTCGTAGCAAACGGTAGTCGACTCAGGTTGCGAATTACCTCCGGAAACTCCTTTTGGAAGTTCGCAATCAGCTGCACTGCACGCTCCGTGTACTCCCACGCCGTATTGCTACCATTTCTCGTCGGAGAAGAGCCAGACGGTGCATCACCACTGCCATTACTGCCACTGCTTCCGACAATCTTGACAATGTCACCTTTTCTCCACACATTGCTATCATCGCTCGGGTTGACGTTGCTATTGTCGCGATTCACGAGTCTACAGTAGCCAGGAAGTAGCAGTTCCTTGCGATAACGGATATTCAGTCCAATATCAGCTCCAAGAGGCTTGATAATCACACTCCCAGTGATCAAACCCAACGTAGAGGCCGAGATACCGAGCTTCTGAGCCACCAAGTAGCCGGGGAAGTACCGATCCGTGATCTTCTGCACGATAACGTAGCCGAACGGAGGCTCCTGATCGATCGTGTTCAGATGGACCGTTACAGTGTGCTGCTCTTCATCTTGAGAGCGCACAATAGCAGTACACCCGAGCCATTGGCCACGTGTGATCAGCGCCTTCGAGTCGACAGGGAAGCGCTCGTTCAACGGCAGCGTCTCAGTCTCTTCGAACCGCGCGTCCAGCAGCTTACGATCACGAACTGTGAGCTGAGCTGGCACGAGCGCTTCGGTCTCTCCAAACTTCTTCTCGATGGCACCTGTAAGAGGGTTGGACACCATACCTTGAAGCGGCAAGACGTGCAGTACACTAGTAATTCCAGTCCTGCCGAGATCGATCCCTCCGCTGCCGGGGATGCCACGACCAGAGAGCAACTTGACCACTTCTGTCTGTGCATAATACGCCCACGCACTCTTCTCGTCTGCTCCATACGGCGTGAAGACAGCCTCGCTCTGTGTACGTCTGTTGTTGTTGTGTTTGCGACTGGACTGCTTGAGACGATATTCCCCGGATAACGTGCTGATACCCACCACTAGCACCTCGTGAAGGTTCGGCCAATTCGCTAACACTGTCGTACCCAGCAGTTCACGCGGATTGATTTCGTCAGCCGTAGCGTTGTCGTTGTCATTCAACTTGCCTGAAGCAGGCAGCTGAAGGATGAGACTGGACTTGCGTGAGCTCATACCGAAGCAGTTCAAGCCAACACTAGCAATCCGCGTGCTCTCCAAAGTCACAGTGTACAGTGACGGGAAGCCAGCAAGCGGTAACACGACACCATCCATCAGTTTACTCTTGAACTCGCCACCAGGGATAGAGGGCAGCCCGTATTCTTCCACGCGAGTGTTGCAGTAGAGCACGTCCGGGAAGCCCACAACTCCAGGTAAAGTGGACTTTAACGTGTCCAACACTGTCAAGTCTCGGACAATCCGAATAGGCAAGCGCTGCAGCTTATTGCGTCGTCTCTCGGCTTCAGTAAGCTGGGAATCAGGACAAAACTGCGCTATAGCTTGCTTCAGCAGTGCGACATCAATAAACGGCAGCAGATTCACCCCTTCCCACGCGTTGCGCTTGCCTTCCATATCAATAGCGAACGTCTCTGGATAGAAATGTTTGATCGGCGACACCGGCGATACCATAAGAAACCGGTATGATTCCGGTACAAGGTTGGAGCTTGAGGCTGGTAAGTTCGACATCAACTGCTCAAACGGCAGCAACGGACCGGCGATCGACGGATCTTCGTCGAATTTCACGTTGCCAATCATCTCCTCGATATCTGTAAGATCCGAGACCATGGGTGCGTAGTGATAGGGGTAGTACCACGCCCACGACTGGGGACCTTGGAAATAGTAGGCCAGACACCAGACCAATGCCTCCATGTACGCCTTCTTGACTTGCTCCAGATCCTTATTACCTGCATCTCCATTGCCTCGCTGGATGCCGTACTTTCTCGCGTAATAATTCCACTTGGTCTCTTGGAAACTCTCGCTTCCAGCCAGCATGAGGACCTCACGATCACTGCGTTCGAGTTCAAGCGACATTTTCGTTTCCTCGGGGCCATCCAGAGCTTCTAGCAGTGCCCGTTCAGCCTCTTCTTCGTCTTCATCGTCTAGTAAAGGAGGCGGAGCATCGTCGTCATCGTCTCGTAAGGCCATGATGGCTTTCTGGACCTCTGTCGCGTCCACATCATGTTGCTTGGACTGCTGACGTCCACCACGTCGTCCGGAACGTCTCTGCTCCTCCATAGCGCGATTGATCAGGATCTCCTCTTCTTGGTTGCCAATAACATGGAACAATTCCTGTAGCAACTTGACGTTCGTGATCTTCCCGTTCAGCGTCAGATAACTGCCCTGATGAGTCTCCAGAAGCTCTCGATAGACCTTCAATAGCAACGGGATGGCGTCTTCACTGATCTCCAGCGTCGGACTGTGAGGGATAAAGTCGTTTCCAAGCAAGAAAGTCAGCAGAATAAAGTCATCCAGCATGCGTTCGCCATCCAGTGGCGACTGGACCCTCATCTCCATCATCAGATACTCTCGGAAGAGACTCAGATGCACCAGTTGCCACTGCTGCTCCTCGATCTGCTTGGCTGCGACCTTCTTATGGTGACTGCCCCACACTACCGTCTCTCTCACGAGTGTAAAGTGTGGCTCGTGGGTCATCAGCCCTAGCAGCATCAGATCTGCGTCACTGCCGTACATACAGTGGCGCAGATTGGCCTCGTAGTCGTCCGTCATCTTCCTATGGCGGATAAACTCGACGATCTTGTGCTCCCCTTCGCCAGGCACTTCACTGCCACTAAAGAAGACCTCGAGTCTGGCCCACAGAGGGTCCGATTTCATCTTTTGTCGCACAAAATACACTAAATGCTGCGAAAGTTTACTCAAAAACTCGGTACCAGGCGTGATACAGTTGGAATCGAACTTACTGGCCACCGATTTCGCCTTGTGGCCGTCTTTCTCGTCCTGTAGCTTGATCTGCATGTGTCTCTCCTTGTCCATGGCTTGTTGACGGTCCAGACCGGCGCGGAATCGACGCGAACGCTGCTGGTTGAGCTTTGCACGTGGGGCGACGCCGTCGATGGCGATGTACACGAGCTTCTTGGGCTTGATGATGTGCGTGATGAGGCGATCTAGATACGTGAAGATGCCGTGCAGTTGGCCCTCTAAAGACAGCGAGTTGAGCGCGTCATCTGCCGCGTCCGAGTGCGTACAGTTGTGTACGATGCCGTTCATATCGAGGTAGAAGGCGTCGAACTCAGGCAACAGCGACACATCCGAGATAGGTTGGTTCAGTAGCGGATACCGCTCCGACATGTACCGGTAGAAGCGTGGGATACCCATGGCGAGCCGAGAGGAAGGAGCGTCTTCGTCTTAGCGGATGCGGATTTGGAGGGGAGCTTTTGCAGTTGGATTGAGCAACATTAGTGCAACTTTAGATGATGAGTGATGGTCGTTTCGGGGTTACGATGGGTTACACAAAGTTGGACAATGAAGGTCATGTATTACCTCTGTTTAGTGGCAGCATGGTGGCAAGGGTCAGCTTAAGAGTTGATTTCGAGCGCTCTCCAGCAAGGAAATCCAGCAGTAGATAGCAGTGATTTGCCAACTTGGGAGGCGAAGGATGTGATGCACGGGATGGGGAGCGGGTTTTGGTTGCTGTCCACGCCGTGGGGATACATGTAGCCCTGCTGCTAGCAGGGGTACGGGAAGGTGAGCCTTGCGTCACATGAGCCACTACAAACAAGAAGTATAGCTTGAGTCCAATCGTCGTGGGGGGTACACTAACTCTGACGAGCTGTCAGTGTCGCCTTCTCTCAGGTGCAAGCGGCGCGAATGTTGACACACTCCACACGCTCCAAAGTCTCCTCTCTCGAGGCCAGTTGAACCTGCACGTCCAGCCAGCGTGTTCTGTTCCATACACAAATGAAATGTAACCAATAATGTAACCCACCATAACTCCGACACCCGTACCTCTGCAAGAACTGCTCCTCCAACTCGAGTCCGGGACATGCCATAAACACACTCAGCACGCACAGATCTCCGTGTTGTAGTGCGACTGTAGCCAAGTCCTTCGTCACACGTGGCTCCGAGTTAGCTGCCACCACCGTTGGCATCAAATGTGCCCCCGACGTCGCGGTGAAAGGCTGGAACGACACGTTCGCGTCATTGTCCAGCGTCGATATCGAGATGCAGTCCGTCACGTGGACTCGAGAGCGACTCGTGTTTTGCACCACGACGAAGAGCTCCACGACTTGCATGACTGTAGCCTTGCCGTTCACCAAGACCGTCCTCGTCGTGTGTCCATTGGAGCGATGAGAAAGCAAACCCCACACGCTAACACCCTTCTCTCGACCTACAGCAAACAACTGTCCGCTACGCTAATAAAACAATGACAACGTTAGATGAATATTAAAACCTGCGTACCACGTACCGTAAAGTTAGAGCAGTCAGGAAGCCGGTTAGAGTCATGGAACGTCCGCCACTGCTCGAACGGCTGAGGAACCGCAATCTGTGCGGAGATTCGCCACCTAGAGCGACAAAGATCTGCCCACAGCTTGTCGCTTCGTGCTGCACGCTGCAATTCTCGAGATGTACCCATCACGGCCACTAAAGTCCACGCGTCGCAGAACGACAAAAGCGTCGGGATTTCCCGTGCGCTCCACTCAAAGACAGACGACTGAGTAGAAACAGCAGCAACTTCGGTGACTTCCGCGTTTGAAACTGGCTCTGAAATCGTTGTAGCTTGACTCTCCACGCTTCCAGCTCGTCCACGTTCCCGAGAAGTGTCCGTCGTTCGGCCAGGAGCAGCACGTTTCCGGGACATTGCAGTGGACGGGACAACCGGACACGGCATCCACATCATCTGTGGTAAAGGGAGACTAGTTCCAATAGCCCCAGCAGTCCACGGATGGCTCTGCGAAGGGTTATAAGGCAGCAGTGGAGCTCCACCGCGGAGAGTGTGCTGTCCCGTTGCTAGTGTATGAAGCTGAGGATGGTGCAGCGGAATGGCAGTCTTCCGGATGGAGTTGTGGTGCTGCTGATGTTGCCCTGCTTTGAGAGCATTCAGCTGTGCTGTCAGCTTCTCAATATGTTCGATGGCCTTCTCTAGGATCTTGGCTCGGTTCAGCTTGCGGTCTTCTTTTAAGTGCAAAATGTCCATGAGCTCCTGGAACCTCGAATTCAGATCTTTCCGATTGATTTTCGCGCGTTTCTTCTTCCTCTCGTAGTTGGTTTCTAGCTGCAATAGTCTGGAGGGGGTGGAAGAAGCGGAGGGTGAGCCAGCTGACGACGACGACGAGTACGTTGTGGCGGTGTGTGTCTCCTCTCCAAGCGAAAAGAACGCTGCGTCATTCAGCACACCCACGTCTGTCATTGCACTGGATACTGCGACGTCTTCGTGCAGCTGAAAAGTCTGCGTCTGCGTATGATGGTGACTATCGCCATCATCGCGAAGTAAATCGTCCAGGAAAGTCTGTTGGGCGCCTGAAGTTGCTGCAGTAGAAGTCAGCAGTGCTGCTAGCTCGTTAAGTTGCGCATTGCTCGTGCTGGGCAGTAGCAGCCGCTGGTGCGTCGAAGTGACGGTAGAGGTAGAGGTGGCCGGCGTCGAAGAGGAAGAGGAAGCGCTGGACAGCTCTTCATCGTTCAGCGCCGGCCACAAGACGCCGCTGCGTGTAGGGAACGTGTCGGTACCTGTTGCCATGGGCACGGAGTCCTAGAACAGCGCCGAAAAACGGTGACACCCACGGTATTTTCTTGACTGGTTTTACTAAAGGGTGGGCGGACGAAAGAGTACCGATGATTGGCTGAAAATGCAGACTTTTTACAGGCTACGTATTCGCAACATGTAGCTCACTGGTACCGTACATGGTGAAAGTGCCGTAGTGCAAGATCAGACAAGTGTTGGATTTGGACCGTGCGGCTGGAGCAGCTGCGGTTAAAGGCGGTAGAAAAGACCGGTTCGGCCGCCGACTATACGGACGCACAGGAGAGGTGGCACGGGTGGCTGCCACAGGAAGATGGTTAACAGAGCAAATATCACTTCTACATTCTCACAGTATAACCTCTGTCTAACAGGTTATGGGTCCAATGGTTCATACTGTTGCCACGGACGAAGTCCAAGGCAAGCCGGAAGCAGAGCCTAGTCGCGAAAGGGCAGGCAGCCAGTACGGCGAAGATGATGAAGTCAAGAAGGCGGACTACGAACCGAAAGGAACGCAGGACAAGCTACTAGACCTACTCAAGGACCTCGCAGTGCGCATGGGACGCCTGGAGGAGTCGCAGGAGCGACAGGAGGAGAAAGAGCGCAAGGGTCGAGAGAGCAGCGTTTTCGGGTCGTCGCTGGGCCTGGGTAGAGCCATGGACAGGCAGGCCCTGAACCAGACGCCACCGCGGCGCACGTTGCTTGCCGTCTCGCCGGCCACGCACTTCGGAATGAAGCAACGTGAGTACCGAGATGCAGCAGCGAACATCGAGATGGCTCAGGCGCCACAGCCGGCGCTGCCGCAGCACTATGTGCCGCCGCAAGCGTATCGAGCGCCACCGCCACCGTCGCCAGGACCGGGATTCGCTGGGGTACCTGACACCCGGCAGAGGAAGCTGAGGATCCGGCTGTTCGACGGAAAGGAGCTGTACCATGGGCTAGGGAGCGGTTTCCTGGCGTGGGGCAAGCGCTTTGTGCGCCAGATACAGTTCGCCGAGCGTGCTAGTGGGTTCCAGTGGACCGAGGACGTCAAGGTTGACATCCTCGGTCACCATCTTAGCGGAATGGCCGAGAGGTACTACAACCAGCAGGTTGAAGGCTGGTGGGAAGAACAGCCGACGCTCGAGCATGCGATGCAGCGGATGCTGCACACCTTCGCCACGAAGATCACACCCGCGCAGAGCATGAAGATGTTCACGGCACCGAAGAGCTCTAAGAGAAGCTAGACAGAGCACTACCTATACCTCGTGGCAGTTAGCGAGGCGTGCGGCGATGCGGACAACCTGGTCCTAGACAACATCGTGCACTACGCGGATCCGAACATGCGAGTGTCGATGCTGACCAGGCTGAACTTGGCACGCACGGACTACCTGCGCCAAGAGGAAGAGCTGGCGCACTTCGCCCAGTCGACGGAGATCGAGCTGCGAGGCAAGCAACTGGGGCGAGACGTGGTCAACGATGTGCACGAGGACGAGAAGGACGGCCGCAAGTGCTACAAGTGTGGTAAATCTGGCCATTTGCGGGCGGCCTGTCCGAACAAGAAGAAGAGGTGGGGCGAAGGCACGGTCGCTGACTTCGTGCTCACGGTCGAGGAGTCGGCCACAGAGCCGGAGGACTGGATCCTGGACAGTGGATCCAGCCGTCATCTGGTGAATGATCCGGAGCTGCTGGAAGACGCGGAAGACTACGAAAGTCAATGCGTGGCAGCGGACGGAGGAGCGCTAAAAATAACTAAGCGCGGGAGCGTAATGCTCGTAACCACGGCGATGGGGAAGATGACCAAAGTGCGGCTGCTGAACGTGCAGTACGCGGAAAACTTGGAAAGGAACATCATATCGTACGGGTTGTTGGAGGCGAAGGGGTACGGACTCGCGTACCGAGGGAAGCACCGCGTGGTAGCCGGCATCAACGGCGGGCCGGCGGTGTTTGACGTCGAGAAGACAAACAACGTTCTCACCGTGCGTGCAATGGAGTCTAGAGTCATGGGGGCGGAAGGCCAACGTGTTAGTGTCGGTGTTGGCGGAAGTTGAGGCGGATGTCGGCAGGGACGTGCAGACCGGGCCGCTCATGCATTTCCACCGTAGGTTAGGGCATCTGAACTACGACACGATCATTAAGATGGCCAAGGACCCGGCATCCGGGATTGCACTCACGGACGAGGTGAGGGCGAACTGCTTGGCTTGTGCCCAGGGCAAACAGACCAAGAAGAAGCAGTCGCGCAAGGACACCGGGGCAAACTCGCCCATTGACGTGATCGGAGGAGTCATCTGCTCCGACCTGAAGGGGCCGATGACTCCGAGAGATCGACTAGGGAACCGTTACATGGTCAACTTTGTTGATCATCGCACCAACTACTGCAGGGTCTTCTTGGCGAAGACTAAGGACGTCGCGGCACAGAAGTTTAAGCATTTCATGGCGTACTTTGAGCGGCAGTTCAACTGCCGTATACACGTGTTGAGGACGGACGGTGGTGGGGAATACAAGACCCTGGATCTCTTCTACAAGGATACTGGAATCAGGCGGCAGATTAGCGAGCCGCGAAACCAGGCTAGTAACGACAAGGCGGAACGAATGCACCGCACCGTTATGAATATGGTGCGGAGCATGGTGTTCGCCTGTGGCCTTCCGCTTAGTTTCTGGGGGATTGCTGCGGAATATGCAGCCTATATCCTAAACAGGAGCCCGACGAAGGCTAACCCGGGATCGAAGTCGCCACTGCAGATGCTCACGAAGAACACACCGGATTTGAGTGACATCGTGGTTTTCGGGTCGCCCTGTACGGTGCACGTGGACGCAAAGAACAAGTCCCTGGGTGAAAGGGGCAAGGCGGGCATGATCGTGGGAAAGAACGACGAGATTAAAGGCTACCGGGTGTATCTCCCGAAGGATAAGGTAGTCGTAGTGACGCAGCATGTGAGCAACGTCGAGACGTTGTCAGACGTGCAGAACGAACAATTGAAGCGCGTGCATCTGGAGGACTCCGAGGAGTCGGAGGGCACGGGCGCTTTGGAGACAGACACTTCGAGGACAAAGACGAAGGAAAAGGCGAAGCGTCGCGGGAAGAAATCTCGCTGGACGCAGGATAGGCATCAGACGCGCTCGCTACGCGGAAGCCGCTGAGGCGGTGGCGAGTGGAGGCGAAGATGAGGATCGGGTGGAACAGACCGCGGACGTGGTGAACAGCGTGCGGGAGCCCGACCCGAAGGACTACCGACAGGCAAAGAGGAGCAAGCTCTGGAGGAAATGGCTGGTTGCAATCGCAGAGGAGCTCAGAGCGCTGGAGGCGAACGGCGTGTGGGTCGTGGTGGTGCCACCGATCGGCAGCCACGTACTGCACACTAAGTGGGTATTCAAGACCAAGACTGATGCAGACGGAGCCATAGAAAGGTTCAAGGCCAGGTCGTTGCGTCCGGCAACGAGCAGATCTTTGACGTGGACTTCGGGCTCACGTTCGCGGCGGTCATGGAACTGAGCACGGTGAGGGTCATCCTGGTTTTTGCTCGTCGCTGGGGCGTGCCGGCGAGGCACGGGGACATCCCCAACGCGTACGTGAAGGCCGACAAGGAGCAGCATCTCGAGATCTACCTGGAGATCCCACAGGGAATGGTGATCGGAGATGAGGTGATGCGCAGGCTCGGAGTGAGCGTCAAAGGTAAGCTGGCGCTGCGCTTGAGGAAGTCGCTGTACGGCCTACGCCAAGCAGGCAGGCTGTGGAGTCAACCCCTGCACGCGAAGCTGGAGGAGGCGGGGTTCACACGGTGCGTGACGGACATGTGCCTATACTACAAGCGAGAGGACGGCGAGATGACGCTCGTGGGCGTGGGCGTGGATGATCTCCTGGTCACCGCGTCCAAGCCGAGTCTGGTGGACGATTTCTTCTGCTCCATGAGCGTGTTGTCCGTGAAAGACTTGGGCGAGGTGAGAAAATTCTTGGGGATGCGCGTGGAGCTGGACAGCAGCTAGGGGTACTCGCTGGACCAGCAGGCGACGATCGAGGAGCTGCTGGAGCAGCATGGGCTGGCAAACGCGAACAGTGTGCGGGTTCCTGTTGGTGATGAGCACAACGAGGCGGAGGTAGACGAGCCGCAGCTGTTGACCAAGGTGGGTGCGCCGGGTGAGCCAACGATCCGCCGTTTCCAGTCGCTCGTGGGAAGTTTGTTTTGGATAGCACGGTGCACGAGACCCGACATTAGTTTCGCTGTGCATAAGGCCACGAGGAGGACGCACCAGCCGACCACGAGTGATTGGAAGCTGGCCAAGAGGGTCGCAAGGTACTTGAAGGGGACGAAGAGCGTCAAGCTGATCATGCAGGCGCCGACGAGGAAGGACGACGTGATGGCTTTGGAGAGCTGGAGCGACGCAGACTTCGCCGCCGACAAGAGCGACAGGAAGTCGATGACTGGAGGAGTCGTGACGATGGACGGGGCTGTGGTGCAGTGGATCTGCAAGAAGCAGACCGGCGTGTCGCTCTCCACGATGTAGGCCGAGCTCACATCAGCGTCGCAGGTGGGGCGCGAGCTGCTGGGACTTCGGGAGCTGGTGCGTGAGCTGGGTTTCCGGGTAGTGGAGCCAGTGCCCATGAGGATGGACAACCAGGCGGCGATTAAGCAGCTAGAATCCGAGGAGAGCATGGCGAGTGCGAAGCACGTGGACATACGCGTGAAGTTCATCTGTGATTTTGCAAGGAAAGGGATAGTGAAGCCCGAGTACGTGGAGTCACGCCTGATGATGGCGGATCTTCTCACGAAGGCGTTACCGGCGCCGAGGATTGCGGAACTGCGGGAGATCTTCAAGCTGAAGTGACGAGTTCTGCCGAGAGTGCGACGACCGAGGAGAAGTGTTGGATTTGAACCGTGCGGCTGGAGCAGCTGCGGTTCAAGCCGGTATGAAAGACCGGTTCGGCCGCCGATTATACGGACGCACAGGAGAGGTGGCACGGGTGGCTGCCACAGGAAGATGGTTAACAGAGCAAATATCACTTCTACATTCTCACAGTATAACCTCTGTCTAACAGACAGCTCCTGGGGGCTTTGCT